AATGCCTCGATGATTAGCTCAGTGGCAGAAGGAATTTGAGAGCGTGATCACCTCCAACGATCCATCCCTCTACATAGTATCATCTTGGTACAGATCCAACAACGATTCACCTTGATTCAAATTGAAGATATAATCACGTTCGGATGGCGGCGGACTTAACCTTCGCAGAACTTCGGGTCCTTCTGCAACCCAATGCATACATTCACAAAAATTCTTTCATCAGTAATACACTTTTGATGATGAGGTACTCAAAATTCATCTCAGATGCCCAATCAAATGCATAAAAAAATTTTTTCTAAAATGGAATACTGAAGATCGTATCATTCGAAAATGTTCGATCCATTCTAGTCTCATGATTTGGCCATTTCTATCGCAATGAATCAAATCCAAAACTAGGCATACACTCTGCCTGAGCTTTCTTGCAATCATCAGATTACAGGTTCAGTTATGAAATCAACGCTTTCTGTATACTGTGGACAAATCGAGAATGGGTCATTCTGATGGTGGAGAAGAAGTGGAAACACCAACGAGAAGTCAATCGTGAGAGTAAATCACTCGGATCGTTCGACTCATCTTCTGGCCGTCGTTTTTTCAAGTATGCACCCTCATCGTCCTCGTCCTCCAATATCTGACCTGGTTCATCCGAGAAGACATTCTTTGGAATTGACTGAAACCTCTTCGAAACTGTACAATTTGTTCTGCTGAATACTGCTTTCGCTCGATTTTTTCTTTCATAGATTCTTGTTTTATCCGGACTGACTGCCACAAAAGATTGAAATACTGAAGTTGGATTAGTCTCTTCAAACAATTTGAATGAACTGAACAGTGAACGACTTAAAAAGACAACATAAAAACCCCGATTAAAGCGATAAATAATGACCTGGAAACGTCCTGAAAGATTCGCGAATTGCTGTTGCAGCATTTCGTCTTTATTCACCAAGATAACTGCTGCTGGTCCACAAGGACTCTTCAAATGCATCTCATATCGCATATCGATATCACGGAACTGAAATGACTCCTCTTCAAAGTAGGAACACATACTATG